TTTGTTGATTGTGAATTGCTTAAATAAACATTCCGTTGGGCTCTAAATGGGTTGGTTCATTCCTTAGGACATTCTCTGTGAACCCAAAATTAATTTCCTGTGTGGACAATTTGTGGGGCATTGGCTGACCTGGATATTCAATGACTGCCTCTGGATAGAGTTGGTCATGGAAGTTTGATCAAAGGTTGGTGAGGAAGCTGCAGTGATGCTCAGTCCCCCAAACTTGGGCTTCACACTTAGGGGGACCGTGCATGTCAGTTGGCAAGGGACATGCACCAAGCACTTAAATTCACCAGCTTGCTTAATCCAGATGGAGAGTCACCTTGAGAGGGTGATTTCTTTGCTCAGAGATGACTGCTCGCTCAGGACAGGCTGATGGGGTTCTGCACGGGTCAGCAGTGTCAATGCACCTGGCCTGGGGGGGTAAGGTGGGTCTCCTGTGGCATCTAGTTACCAGCTGGAGTCCCACCCACCCCTACCTTCCTGATACCAGTTTGCAATGGAGGATGTGCTGGGGGGCAGCAGGGAAGCCCAACCATTTACCCCTTGTGCCCTGAAAGGTCCCCCCAGTCCTCTAGAAACTAAACCTCTAAAATGAGTAACTACCCTGACAATTGGATGTGCAGAAGACTTTATTTGGTGCCCTGTGCTGTGCTCAGCCCTACAAATATGTTGTCTTGTTGAAGCCTCTGCATGGTAGGAGTTACTGTTATCCCCCGGGGTGATGCCAGCCATGGCTTGGAGAGCTGAAGTAACGCATCCAGTCTTAGCTGGTAGATGGGCTGGCACATCTCTTGTCAGGCCCCAGAGCTCGCATGCACATTTCTTCTCCAGGTTCTTATCTCAAGAGCTTATCACGGCTCCCCTGGCAGCCAGGTGCCCTGCTAGTCTGGAAGACCAACGGTGGATTTATCAACTGCTTGGACTTTCTCCCAGTGCCACATGAGACCACATGAGGCAGCGATTAGATTCAAGGTTATTTTTATGGCTTGTGTGCCCACGCAAAGGGTGTGTTGTGTCTAGGGCTCCTTCAACTGTAACTGGAAGTCTCGAGCTAGAAATTCAATATTTGCAAATAAGCGAAATAAAAATAGTGGGCTGGGCAGAGCTCCCAGGTCACAGAGTTCACGGTGACACAGGCCAAGTAGGCCTCCGTGACAGGTTTGGTCCTAGCGAGGAGATGTGGGACAGAGGGGTGGTTCTTTTGCTGACCACTCTGGCAGCAGCTCACCAAGGATGGCTGGTAGGGTCTCTGATGAATGGGTGGGGCCTGTGGGCTCAGTAGGGTCTGCAGCAGAAGCTCACCAAGGTCCTTGGAAGGTCACCACAGGTCATCAGAGGTCAGGATCACAGCCAAGGCGGCTGCTTCCGGTAGGTGGGGGAAGCAGAAAGATTCTGGGGCTGAGCTCCAGGCTTTGCTCCCTGAATGCTACAGCCTTAAGTTCATAATCATTTTGTGGGGTTCAGATTGAAATGGCTCGTGGACTTTTCTCTTGCTGACATTTCTTATTGACCGAGTTCATGTTCCCAGGTCCCCACGCCCAGGCTAGCTGAGTGCATCACATCATTTCTTGCCATAACTGAAATCATGTAAAAGTTTTCAACACTGAGGTACAGAGAGTACCCCACATTCAAGCATACTCCTTCTGCTGATGCTCCTGGCCCTCCCTGGCTTGCGCCACTTGGGCAACCATGTCCTCGCTGCCTCCACCCACTGTCAGGACAGGTGGGCTTGGCTTTGCCTGCTGTTTTCCAAGCCCTGCTTTTTGGCCAGACTCGCTGCTGAGCTTGAGTATAGATGCAGGTACTGACAGTCTCGGCCTGTGCTCTTGTTCTGACGCCCGATCTGCTGCTCCCCAAAGCCCACACCAGACCTCGCTGCTGCCCAGGGCAGAGGGTGCTGCTTGGGGTCCCCTCTCCATCTCAGACTAGCCGACCAGGGGTTTCCTGCCCTGGATGACGGAGCTCATCCTCCCCCTGTGGCTGGAATATCTAGGCTACAGATAGAGTTTTCAAAAGGTGAATTCATTCAGAGACCGGTGAAGAAAGACACTCTTCAATGCCAGGGGTGACACTTGGATTTCCTCATTCACTCTGGAGTTTTTGGCCAGGCAGGGAGAATCAGAAAATCCCGGCTGCAAATGTTCCCAGGTTCGCATAGAGACCCCAGCCCTGTTTTCTGGCTTGTCAAAGAGAAGCTGATGCTTACCAAGGCCTGGATTTTAAAAATTATTTGGCAGGAGTTTTAAGAGAATGGTGATAGTGACTTGTACCTTTTTGAGTTTTTAGCACCTTTATGAAAATGATTTATCAGTGGGGAGAAAGCCACGATTTTTGTTATGTGTGTTAGGAGACCATCGCAAAAGAATGGAAGTCCTGGGAGAAAGGTAGCCTCCTTTTTGGTGAGCTTTATTAAAACCAAGGGCAAGATAGACTCACTTCAGGGTTTTTTTTTCTTTTGGAATAAACAGAATTTCCTTGATTCAGTTGGCAGGAGGCCAGGAAGCGTGCCTGTAGCTCAGGAATCATCCCAAACCAAACTAATGGAAAAAGTCTGACTTGCTGGAGGCTGAAATTCAATATCTAGGAGGTGACATGGCTCAAGTGTGTGGGGTGTTGGGGGGGTGTGGTGTGAGCTGTGAGGGGGAGGAGGTGGGGCGGCAGGGTAAAAGCCATCTTAAGGGAAGCCTGAACTCCAGGCAGCTATAAATAGAGTTCTTACTCACTGGGATTGCTAAAATTCATCCTTTTAAAAAGGGCTTTATTTGACCCTTTGGTCAGAATTATGATATGATCCTATATATTATATTATGCCCGAGACTGGCCTAAAAACCTTCATTTTCCTTTTGATTTGAGCCAAGTTTAATTAAGAGCACTGCTTCACAATTTCATTAAATAATTGAAACACTTTCCTTTGAAAATTCACTCTGAATGAAGGCATTATGTGCAGAATAGTGCATTTTAAAAACCTTTATTGAGACCCAGACTTCACGTAAAAGGGTCACAAACGATGGCCCATGGGGACAGTGGGTGAGGAAGCTGAGTGCAATGGCCAGGTGATAGGGAGTGGTGGAGACTGTGGCTAACTGGAATTCACAGACCTGGGAGAATTAAGACTTAGAATTGTCAGGCCTGCTTGCTCTTAAAGAGAGGCCAGATGTGTAGATTTCTGTGAAATGCTCCGATTTGCAAAATGTTGGCAAGTAATGCAGAACATTTTGGTCTTTACTGTGTGGGCCTAACAAAACCTGACTGGGCCTTCTTGTCTCTAAATGGTGAAGAAATGGTGCTTCTTAATTTGGGAGCAAAGGAGGGAAAAGAAGTTCTGATCTTTTCCTTTGGATTAATTTTAACTTGCCTTCACAAAATATTTACCATATTGTGTAACAGTTTTGCGAGGATGGTGTTTAGGTTAAATTTCTGCATTTTCAGACCCTTCATTTACTCAGGACTTTCACCTATTCTTTGTTTTGCTGCCTAGTCCAGGGATAGAAGCTGGATGGTCTTGTTTTTTGGAAGGGGGAGGATTATTCATTTTTCAATTTTAAAAATTTACCCTTTTTTTGGCAGAGCTGTGGGCTTTGGGGGGTGGGTTGCCATCATACGTGTCTGCGTCATCCCTCTCTGTCACTCAGTATTCATTCAGCAGTGACTGAGTGTCTGCCTATAGAATGCAGGGGATGGCCCCGCAACAAAGAATTAACCATCGCAATGTCAATGGTGCTGATAAGAAACTTGCTTTAGAAACTTCCCGAATAGAAGCATTCACATTCCTTTAGTCCTAGGAGCAACTGGCTGGCTCCTCATTCCTGTCTGTAGAGATGAGGGGTTGGGGCAGGATCATTCTAGACCTACCCCTTGTGCCCCTCATGGGTGCCCCCGGAAGTGGCGAGTGGCCAGCTGCAGGTCAGCAGCTGCTCTGTCCACCAGCAGGTGCCTTTGAGCCTGTAACAGATACGTCCTGAGTGTGAGAGAGACGCGATCACTTTTGTGCAAATAGCAAGTAGAAGCAACCGCTGTTGCTCCTGACAAGGAAGCAGTTGTGGGGGGAGTTGTCGAGGCTAATTTATGGGTGGTTTTCTCCCTTTTGTTTTTTTATTTGCCATGGAAGATATGGAACAGGAAATTGGGCTCAACAATTGCCAGATTGTTCTCCCCACAGCTCTCACCCGAGAGTGTTCTCCCCACAGCTCTCACTCAGATCCTTGCCAGGACGGGTCAGTGCCGAGGGTCATTTGTGTGTGGACACTGTACTAGGCCACTTGGTAGCCTGTGAAATCCGGGCTCCCACTCACAGCTGGGAGTTGATTCTTTGTTATTATTTTTTTTTTAGATTTATTTATTTATTTATACATGCACTAGGTACAGTCAGAAGCGCGGGAGGGTGAGAGAATTCACCAGAGCCAGAGCGGGGAGCAGAGCAGGCAGAAGGACCGAAGTACACTGCTGAGGGGAGCAGCGGGCGGCAGGAGAGGTCTGCACACCATGTGGGACCCTCCTCCGGTGGCCTGGGAGCAGCCGGGGATCGAACCGGCGCTGCAGAGGCTGCGGACAGCCTCGCAACCCAGCGCTCAACCGCTGCGCCACCGGGGAGGCCCTGGGAGTTGATTCTTTAAAGCAAGCCCAGGAAGATCAGCTGGTGGCGCTGGGTTCCGAGAGCTGCCTTAGATCATATTATCTTTTGCTTTCCAGACCCTTGAGCAGAACTTTCTCGATTTCTGACACTTGCTAGTCTGTAGATTTTAAATGGACCCACTGCCAGGCAGGCTGGGGCCGAGGGATGGGGGCTGGACGCTTGGGAGGAGGCTGCGGTGGTGGGAGAACCACTGGCTGGCTTGGGGGACAGCGGGGGTCACAGCCAGGTTGTCCGCCTCCCCTGCCTGCCAGCCTCTCTCCTCCCCAGGACTGTGGGCCTCTGGCTCCAAGGACAGGCTCAGAGGCTGGAACAGCTCGGGACAGGAGGTCTCAAGGTCAGTCAGGGAGGCTGTTAGCCTCGGAAGGCAGCAGCCAGCTTGGCAGAGACCAGATGACTGTGAGACTGAGTCCACAAGATTCAGCCGCTCGGTGGGTCGGGAAGCCCAGTGTGGGGGCGTCCCTCGAGCAGTGGGCTCCTCCCTTAGACCAGGTGCCCTCAAGTGTGAGTTGCTGCCTTGTGTGCCCTCCGGCTCTGGACCATCCTGTGTGGCTTTTACCTGAGGTGAGCCTGGTAATAAACTTGGCCTTCTCGGCCTGTGCTCCGACTCCGTGCACACAGATCCTCCACCCATGTCAGGTCCCCCTCTACCCCCCCATTTTTCCCTGCCCTTCCGGCCTCACGTAGCGCGCTCTGCGTTTGTTAGGCGGTTTTCCGTATTTACTCGTTTCGCTTTTGATTAGATCAAACTCTTGGCTGACTTTCATTCCTTTCGGTCAAGTGCATCTCTGTGTCAGGCCCAGGCCGCACTGACTGACGCTCATTTCCTTCTTAACCCCTTAGTGCTGTGCCAGTTAGTGTTCGTTTGCGTTCTGTGAAATAGCAAAATTACCTGGAATTGTGGGGATGGACTTGCCTGGGTGAAATGATGTTATGGTTTATATATTTAATGTTGATAAGCTGTTCTAAAGGAGTGGGAGCAGCCGCTCTCCTGCCCGCCCAGGACCATGCAGGCCTCTTGGAACAAACCTGTCCCTTCTGGGGCAGCTCTTTCTACCTGCCTGTGTCTGTGCAAATGTCCTTTACTCTTCTCTCCCTTTTTATAATCAACCTGCCCTTTGGATGTAACTGAAAAAATGAGCAGGAACAAACACTTTCCACCACCGGTTAGCTCCGGGGCCTCGGAAGTCCGTTAAGCCCAGCCCCGAGGTCACTCTGCCAGGTGGGGCATCTGCAGCTCCTTGTCCGTGGGTGCTGGAATGAAGCCATCCCTGCTTGTGAAGGGCTAATGTGTCTGTTGTTATGGCTACTCTTCAAGGTTCCTCTCAGGACTGTTCTCAAGGTCAGGTGGCCTCTGGGGGAGTTGGAGTCAGATCTGCAAGACTCGAAGCTCATGTCCTGGTAGTTCTCTGCCCTCCTTGTCCCTGGCACAGTGCACAAGAGCTAATAAATAAAACGAATGAGCGCATTTAGGGTGGTTCTCCAGGGTAACATGAATTTGCAAAAAGGTGACCCTACCTTGGGATTTGTGAAAGAAGCAGAACACAAAGTCAGAGTTCTGGAAAATCTTTTCACATACCTTCGTCTGCAAAAGCAAACAGCTGCTCCAATCAGTTGTTTTAAATGAACTCATGCCCAGGTGGAAAATATGGCTTCATGATGACATGGTCTAGCTCTGGAAGCTGCCAGGGGCCCACAGCACCGGCGGTCAAGAGGGGGCATCCCTGGTGTCCTCTCTGCAGTCTCGAAGGTAAGCTCTGGAAAGCAGGTCAGAGAAAGAACCCCCACTCACTCTAGGGATTCCAGAAGACAGACGGTTACTTGATGATCCAGGAGATGAGGTCATTTTAGGGTGCAGTCATCTCTTTCACTCTCTGTTTTTACAAAGGAGAACCCCGGAGAATGTGTTAGATGAACCTTCACACTCCTTTAAATGCTCTAGGGGAAGCTGAGGACATCAGAGGGACATAAAAGGTCAAGGCCATGGTTTATAGGGCAGAGCTGGGAAAAGACACACAACTCCTGGTGACACGGGCAGATGGGTGCGGCTAATGCTCGAGTTCATCACGTCCTTGCCTTTCTGTTGCAGTCTGTCCTTCTGTCCGTCCCTCCTTCCTAGGCGAGCTGGTTCTGGTGTCCCGTCTAACAGGGAGAGCTGGCATCTCACAGTTACCTACTTATGTACTGCGTTCTCTGCCAGCCAGCACAGGTGACTGATTTGGGGGAGGCAGGTGAGGGACCCCTAGAAGGGCCACTGTTGCTGCCTGGGCAGAGGCTGTATCGGTGTTGGCAGAACAGCTGACAGAAGCTCAGGTGTGAGTAAGCTCAGCCTGGCCGAGACCTGAGGAAAGTTTCAGGGGTCTGCTGGGGGGCAGACTTTGGAGGAGAAGTTGGACAGGGCAGGCAGGACCAGAACGCTTGTGGTTCACAGGCTGCAGGAGTGATTTTATCTCAATGCAAAAGATTTTAAGCAAGGCCAGGAATTGGGTTTGCAAAATCAAGCTGGCTTCAAGGTGATACATGGACTGGAAAGGGACAGGGGTGGGTGTCGGCACCAGGGTGAGGGGACTAGGACCTCAGAATGGGGTGAGAACAGATGACTGGGTCCTTGTCCTGGCTGGACCCCCCTCTCTCCTCCTCCCCCACTGCCCCAGGTTTTACAAAGCCAGTTTGCTTCTCTAGCTACTCTAGCTACTGCTTCTCTGCTGAGTATTTGGGGCAATTTACAAGTTTTTCTGTGGTAGTCTTCGGATGCTGTGCCCCGGAACCCAGGCTGACTTTTACCATAGCTTGAGTGCATTCCACTTCCTAACCTATAGCGAGCTCGTGGAAAACTCAATTAAAAATCCATTTACCTTCGACAACTCTTATTATATCTGCAAAACTTCTTTGTCTTTGTTAACACATTAAACATCTGGTCACAGTTGGGAGGCACAGAGGGCAGTTTTGGGGTGAAAGCACATACTTTATCCTGCTCGCTGTAGAAAGAATTGTCTAATTTTATTTAACTAAACCACCAGTAACTCAGATAATGCGCCGACACATGCAATCAAGGTTCCAGAATTTAGGAGACTGCCCTGGAAATCACAACAGACTTTTCTTCCTCCCTTTGGCAAAAAATGTCACAGGGCAATTTATGTACCAAGTTCTCCAGCACTGTTTTAATCATCTCCTACAATCGGGCATGTAGAATTTACATTCTTAGGGCAATTCTGATTTGTTACATTCTCTCATTGTTTCAAGAGGTGGAGAAAGCTTTGTTCAGCTTCTCTCCACAGGGCAACGTTGAATTCTGAGAGGACCCAGTGGGGCAGGTGAGATGAGTAATTCATACCTACCTTGGCTGAGTGTCACAGGAGGATTTTGTACTGGTCTTCACAAAAAATGAGAAAAATCAAACCAAAAAAAAGACACAGCATCCATGTCTGTGCACACACACCACCAACTTAGCTCACAAAATTATGTCCCAAGGTCTAGAATCCAGAACTGTGCTGTCGGGTACTTGAGCCACTAGCCACGTGGCCGGTTCTGCTTGTCCTGTGCCTGTTCTGCTGGAGATGTGGAGTGGGCAGCAAATACCCAGCAGGCTGTGGGATGAGTATAGGAAAAAGAGTGTAAAATATCTCATGCATCCATTTTTAAAGGTGGCGAGGTCTTAGGAAAGGGTCTGTTTGCATGCTTAATGGTGAATGCACCCCTAAAGCTTCTATGATGCTGGTGTGCAAGGCTGGTGAGTAAAAAAAAAAAAATGAATGAAAAACTATGTTTTTACATGGATGACATGTTACAATGCTAGTATTTTGGGTTAATTCATAGATATTAAAATTAATCTTACCTGATTTGCTTTTACTTTTTAAAATGTGGTTGCTTCAAGGGACTACGTGATGGTGAACGGGGGGGGTTGGTGATGGGAATTTCATGGGGACACCTGAGAGGTGTACAAAAAGGAGGACTGATGTAAAATATATATCTACATAAAATAAATAAATATTTAGAGTGAGGCATTCCGTTAAGTGGTTGGCGTCCGTTCCTGAAAGTTTGATCGCTTTTGAGCTCATTCCTGCTCCTCTTACCCCAGGAGGCCCTTCCTGGCTGCTCCCCAGCCCTGCAGGTGCCCTTCTAGAAGAATTCTTATCTCCTGGTCTGTGATTGATGACAGCAAGGTGGCCTTCCCGCTTCTGGGTCAGCTCTGTCTGAGAACAGAAAGAGTCCGAGGAGTGCTTGAGATTAGGAGCCGCCGCTGAGTTTTAGTGATGCTCTCCACGCCCTGGACGGCTGCAGTGGGTGGGCCATGATGGCGCTGAACTCTCAGTTGCGACTTTTTGATGATACTTTTGTATTTTAAACAAAGCTTTTGCTCTTTTTCTGTCAAGTGATGAGAGGGTTGACGCCTTTCGGCCTTGCCCTTCTAAAGGATTCGGTCTGATCTGGGACAGGATGTCTCCAGGGAGACCTGGCCCCGCAGTCCTGAGGCCACGGGTTTCTTTGGTTTGTCAGAGTCTGTTGACAAACCTGTGTGGCATTTGCCGGGAAAACAAAGAAGTCTACGTTGCATTGAAGTCAGAGGACTTCTGATTGGTTTGCTGTCGGCAAAAGCAGCACTTGGGTGTCCATGAAGCCTGCAAGGAAGATGCCAGCTGAAACCCCCTGTGGGCTCAGGCTGGGAGTCACCAGTCGGGCACTTTGTTTCTGGGAGCTGGAGGGTGACAAGGTCTCACTGGGTTATTGTGGTGGCATGGCAGAGGCCCTAAAGAATGCTAAGGCCGGGGCTCCCTGGTGGTCCAGGGGTTAAAGACAGCAATCTGCAGCCACTGCAGCCGGAGTGTGATCCCCAGCCAGCCAGGGAGCTGACCCACATGGAGCAGCAGACCTCTCCTGTCTCCCCGCTGCTCCCTCAGCAGTGGATTTCAGTAGAGCCGCCTGTTCTGCTCCCTGTTCTGTCTCTGCTGGATCCTCTCACCCCCTGTACCTCTGGCCTGCACCCCAGTTCTTATATGCATAATTCAATAAAATAAATCTTAAAAAAAATACTAAGGTCATCTTCTCTCAAAGGGTAGTTTTTAGGTGATGTTTAGCAAACCAGCATTGTGACAGGTGCAGGGAACAAGGAATCTAATTCTTACACAACATGTTTGAACATGGCTTGCCACTAAATAATTTCAGAACAAATACTTGAATTGCAGTGAGTGTGAATTCTCGGAGCAAATAACTTTGGAGGCGTAGGCTGGCGTCTGTCGGGATTTACTTGGGGGCAGTGCGTTCTGTTTTGTGGACACTGTTTATCTTGTCAACTCCCTCCCTCCTTTTACTTTCCCTTCCCCCTCCCGTCTCCCTTCCTGTCCTCCTTCCTGGATTTGCCTGGACCTAGTGTTTCCCCCTCTTGGGGTAGCTGTTGAGATGAATGGTTTAAACACAGCATTTAAGCTGGTGTTTGCTTTGTGCGGGGCTCTAAGTCTTGCCCAAGCTTTCCGGGGCTCAGACCTGGTGGGAGAATCACAGACTCGATGAATTTGCAGAAAGGTGGTGGTGCCTTGAGGAACGCTTCCCCACCGGGCGGGCGGAAC